AGAGGAAGTTCCTCACAGGCTGTCAGGCTGAGGGCCTTGGTTCTTCGTTGGCTCTTGGCTGAGGGTCTCTCTCAGCTCCTGGACCTATGGGGCAGCTCATAATGTGGCAAGTGAGAGAGAAGAGAGAGCAAGCAAGACAGTAGCCACCATCTTTGGGTCTTTGGGTAACCTAATCTCAGAAAGGGCATCCCATCGCTCTTTTTTTTTTTTTCTTTTTCTTTTTGTGAGGAAGACTGGCCCTGAGCTAATATCCATTGCCAATCCTCTTTTTTTTGCTGAGGAAGATTAGCCCTGAGCTAACATCCATGCCCATCTTCCTCTGTTTTGTATGCGGGATGCCGCCACAGCACGGCCGGACAAGTGGTGCCTTGGTCTGCGCCCGGGATCCAAACCTGAGAACCCAGGGCTGCCGAAGTGGAGTGCGTGAACTTAACCACTACGCCACCAGGCCGGCCTATCCCATCACTCTTGTACTTTGTCACAAGTAAGTCACTAGGTCCAGCCCACACTCAAGGGAAGGGGAATACACAAGGGCTTGAACACAGGCGACAGGGTCATTGGGGGCCCTTAGGGGCTGCCTATCACAGAGGTCATGTAACCTGCCCCCGGTCTCATAGCCAGGACACCCTCCAGCCTCCTTCAGGAGCTGGGCTCTCTGCCCCACCTCAGGGAGGTAAGGCCGGGGCTGGGACAGGCAGGCCCCCAACCACCACTGGCCTCGGCTTTCTATAAACCCCACCCAGTGCTTTCTCCTCCCATGAAAGCCTCAGAGTGTTCCCTGCTCAGCCCAGGAGGCTGCATGGGGTACAGCACTTGCTGTCTGAGCTGCAGCAATGTTAGCTTTCAAACCTCAGGCCCAGGGGAGCCCACAGATGGGCAGTTGGCTGGAAAATCAGCCCATCTGTTACCCTCCTGGGGCTGTGGGTCATGTTTACACCAAAAAGTGAGCTGTGACATGGTAGAACTGAGCCTTGTAAAATGATTTCTCTCCCAGATTTTCTTGTCTCACATTTGAAAAGCCGGAGCAGCCTGTCGTGCGACTGGCTCTCCGGGGCCCTCTCTGAGGGTACAAGAAATACCACATTCCTTTTGTTTTTCTGCTAAAATGATTTCTCACTGTGTCCCATCTCCCTGGGCTGGCAGAAAATTGAATCATTTGGAGGGCTCCCTCCCTGTCCTTCCCCTGCCCTATGGGGGTTGTGTGGTCCTAGGCAACCGATCTAGTGCAGAGTACCGGGGTTACTTCCCCACCAGAACAGAAGCTGAGCGAGGGCAGCAGTTTTTGCCAGGCTCGTGCACAGATGTGCATGGTCAGCGCCCGTCACACGGTAGGCGTGCAGGACATCTTTGTCGCATGTTGAATGAACCATCTTTGGTCCTATTGCTACACTCCTCACCCAAACACATATGGAGTCTTGAAGGGAGGGACAAAAGGGGTCTTCGCCAGCCAGGCCAGGGTCCTGATTCCCTCCAGCAGTACAGGCCTTTCCTTTCAGGTTCAACAGGTGATGCTCTAGTGAGAAGGAACACTAGGAGTGCCCCCTGTTCTGGGACACTTGCTTCCACCCCTTCTCTGCTCCAGAAAGTTCTCCCCATTCAGCCAGATTCACCTCCCCATTCTCCAATCCCCCAAATTCCATTGTTCTTCCTGGAAAGATCTTTTCTCAAAAATAAAAGCCTCTTTCTCAACTTTGCCCCTGGGGGTGGGAGCCAGGGCAGCCCACTGACTCCAGGGCTGGCCCACAGCTCTGCTCCCTGGGGAGGTGGGGGGGTGGGCGAAGTGACGAGGCGCTCACTCTAATTCTTTCTGATCTTCCCCAGCAGTGAAACAAACACGAATTTGTATCTCAACAAGTTTTCCAGCTCAAGGCTGCAGGCTCTGATGCGCGGGGTGGGGGCAGCCAGGAGGACGGTGTTAGCATCCTGCAGGAAGGTGCACAATGTAAAGAGAACCAGGAAAACGGGCCGGCATTAAACCGCTCCTGCCAACATGGGTATGGCTGCCTGAGATCCCTCCATCACAGCTTTCTGTTATTGATTAGGGAGAGGGCAGATGACCCCCCTTTCAGGCATGCAGATGCAAACCTCCTTGGGGTTCCTCCCTGCCACGTGCAAATCCCCACCTGTCCTCTTTAGGCTTAGTCACAAGGATGAACAAGACTCAGGGCCCAGTAGCCACCATGCAAAGTGCACATGTATTGGGCACTTGACAGACACCAAGTACAGTGTCAAGTGCTTTTCATGATCATTTCATTTAGTCTTCCCGACTGCCCTTTGAGGTAAGTATGAATATCCCCACGTTCCAGATGAGGAAACTGAGGCTCAGAGAGGGATGACTTGCTTGAGGAGTGATGCCATGGGAATCCTGACATGACTATACTTGATGCCATTGCCCACCCTGGTAATTACCATGTCCTGCCACCTCCTCCAAATCACAGTCGCAAGGGATCAGCACCATGGAAAGACAGATGGTATGGTGGAAATTCAGAGGAATTCATGACCAGCCCAGCCATCTGGGGAGGCTTCATAGAGGAGGAGCCAGAATGGGAAGGATGGGTGGGATGTGACAAGTGGAGCCTGTGAAACGGGCCTTCCAGGAGGAGCAAAGGCCGAGAGGAGGGGCAGCATGGGAAGGGCGCTTGAAGCCATCCTCTTAGGCTCATGTATTGTGGATGTTGGGAAGTGAGGGAGAGAGAGTACGAGAAAAGTGGGCTGGGGCCACATGGTAGAGAGTGAGGTGGGGTCCACCTGGGCCAGCTCTGGGTCTGACCAGCCTGAAAAAGACCAGACCACGAGTCACATGGGCCACAAAGCTGGGTGTCCATCACCCAGGTGCGCAGATCCTTTGCTGGAGGACAAGATATTGTTCTCTGAACCTGTGAGGCCACAGCAGCCGTGCCCTGACCCCTCTACCCAGACACCTGGACGCCAGGTAGAGGCAGTGCAGGAAGAGGAGAGCCAATGCATTCCAGACAGAACACGTTTACCCCCAGCCATGGGGCGGCCCCTAAAGTGACCGCTCACATTTTCAACTTTGACCCAGCTTGAAAACCAGCTGGCCTTTCCGTAAACTTCTTTTCTCTTCTAACCAGCCTCTTGAGAGCTCAAGAAGAAGCCTGATGAGTTACAGACTAAAGAGATTACGTTTTCCCCACTCAGACGAGTTGCTGTTGAGGACAGATTCCGTTACACATATACTGAGATGCTGGGTGAGATTGTGTTTTTGTTTAAAGGCTTCACTACTAAAAATATTTTTAAAATATCTTTTTTTAATGGCCCAGATTGTCCAACTCTCTCATTGAGTGAGGAATCAGAGGCCCAGAGAGGGCCTGGAAGTCACCTGAGGCCACACAGCAGTGAATGGCAGAGTCTAGAGCCAGCCTGGGGCCCAGGATTCCTCGTGAACTCCAGTCCAGTGCTCCTTCCACACGCCAGTGCTGGCTCAGTTTGGAGCTGCCATGGCCTGGGGAGGGGAGGGGAGTGGGCCAAGGGCTCAGGGTTTATTGCAGCCCAGAACGACAGCTGCTAGAAACCTCAGTTTGCTCAAGGTCTTCCTCCTGAAGGCCCCAAATGCCCCGGATGTGGGCTTGACCAGGGCTGAGCCTGAGACCCGCAGGCCCCTCCCTCCTCTCCTCAGCAAGACTCCTCACCGCATGGAGCGCACCCCGCTCAATCATTCCTCTGTTGAGTGAAGCCTAACACAGCCTGGAATGAGCACTGGAGGAGGAGTCAGAAGTCTGGGGATCCAGACCAGCTGTGCCACTTCCTAGCTGAGAAGCACTGGGCTGCTCCTGTCACCTCTCTGGCTTCCTTGGCTGTAAAAAACAAAGAACAGAAACCACCCAGAAAGCAAATAGGGGCATGGGAGTACACGGCTGGCAATCACGCACAGTTCCTGAGCAGAGTGAATTCAAAACCGGCTCTGGAGTCAGGCTGCCTGGGATTGAACCCCACTGTGTGGTCTGTGAATTTGCGCAAGTAGCTTAATTTCCCTGTGCCTCAGTTTCCTCATCTGTAAAATAGGGATAATAGGACCTACCCCCCATAAACTAGTTGTGAGAAGATTAAGATAACATAGGTTGAGAGTTTAGGACAGTGCCCGATAGATACACAGTAAGTGTTGAGTAAAAATTCGTAATTATTGTTACTGCTCCTTGAGCCTTTACTGACCCCACACTCCCCTCCTAGTAAATGATACGCACTTGGAAGACGGATGTTTGTTTCCCTGAGAGCCTAGCCTGGTGCCAGGGGCAGGGGAGTGCGAGTGTGGTGGGGAATTGCTTAATACATGCACCTGGAAGTATCAATACTTGTAAAACGGGCGCACGCAATGCTTTGCAGCCTCCTTCCCCACAAACCCTCACCCACCCAAAGCACCTTCCCCAGGGGTCGAGGGCTGGTGAATGAATCTCTGAATGATACGTATTCCTCTGTTTGATGTTCAGTAATAATGAGCTTGTATGCAGAGTGAGTCACGAAACCTGGTTCACCGTCTGCGCCTCATACATAGCCATACAATTCCAGAGGCACAGCATCAACGATCCTGGAAATTCATTCCTTCAACAAAACATTAATTGGGTAGTTGGCAATCTACTGATTCATGAGTTGGAAGGGGGTAAATTATTATTTAGAAGCTACACAAGGGCAGGCGGGTAACAATGTTATTGGACGTGTATTTCCCTAAGCACCTGTCCTCTGATCTTGAGCAAACTACATTTATGCCATCTTGTTTAGGAATTAATGAGGGCCAGCTAATCTTTCAGAAGACCTCAATTTGCAGTTTTGGTCAAAAGCCCTTCAGCCTTTACAAATGAAGACCTGTCTTTCTGGGTTGGGCTAACTCCTTTGCTAGTTAAAAGCTTTCTGTGTCTTTAAAAGGGGGCGGTACCCTGTCAAACGGACCCTAAAGCATAGGCTGAAGGCACGTGAAGTCCCACCCACTTTCTGTGACGTCCTGTGCCCCGGCTTCTGATTGCCCGCTTCAGACGTCAATCGCGGGGCGTCTGTCTTGCTGGGACACAGTGGTGGTCTAACCTCTGGTTTGCGGAGCGGTCGGGTGTATTCTGCGCTCGCCCCCACGCCCTCGAGGCCCCCGCCGCCCAACCCAACAGCGGAGCCAGCCAGTGGCTCCCGCGGCGCCCTCCCGCACCGGATCGCTCCTCGCTGGGGCGGGACCTGGCCCGACAGCTCGGGTCACTATGGTCAGTGGTCGTGGGGGGAAGGAGGAGGGGGAGTGGGAAGGGGGACGCGGTGGGCGGGGGTCGCCGCCGGCGCGCATGTGCACTCGCGGGACGGGGGTCGGGCGCAAGGCTCCTCCTCCAGCGCCCGGCCCGCGGCGTTCGGACCCCCGGGAGTACTGAGTCCGCCCGCATGCTGGGGTCCCGGTCTTTCCTCGGAATGCCCTGCAGGGCCCGGGGCGCGCCCCGCCGTCCCCTGAGGACGCACAGCGGAGAGGACCCAGCCCAGCCCCCCGCCCCGGGCGCGCTCGTCCCCGGTGTCCCCGACGGTGCCGCCCCGACGGCGCAAGGTAGGCGCCCTCGACGGGAGCGGGGACAGGGAGGCTCCAGGGCTTAAGGTCGCCCCCTCTTTGTTAAGTAGCCTTCCACTCGGCAGCTCACGGGCCCACCTACCCGAGGGCTCAGCCATCAGAGACCCCCTCCAAGCCCCACGAGTGGACCTAGGGGGTGGCGGGGTGGCCGGGTCGCTGGACATTCTCTCTGTGCCGCACGTCAACAGAAGGTGTTTGGAGTTAGGTCCCACATGGAGAGGCTGTCTCAAGTTGTGAGGCACGTAAATTAGGGGTCCAGGCAAAGCAAAGATTAGAAGAACCCCTGATTCAGAAGAGTCCTGTCTGAGCAGAAAGGGCCCCAGAGACCCCCTGAGCCAGGCCAAACCCTGGGCGTGGCCAGGTGGGGAAACTGAGGCCCAGACAGGGAAGGGACTGGGACTGGTTGTGGTGGACCTGGGACTTGAACTCGAGGCTCTGGACTCCCAGTCCAGTGCTCTTTGTGTTAGGTCAGTCTACCTTCCAGGTTGCAGGGGAGGGGGTCAGGCAATCTGCAGGAAACTGGAGTGATGACCGCCTAAAACCCTTCACCCTAAAAGCCCCGTGCTCCGGGGAGCCTAGAGAGTGTAAGGGGTGGTGCCTGGCTTGTGGTCTCACCCCCTTGAGTTCAAATCTCACCTCCGCCCCGTGGACAGCTGAGAGGCTCTGGGTGGTCCCTTCCCCTCCCCACCTGTTTTGCACATCTGCACAGTGGGCTGCTGTGAGGACCACATGAGATGATGTGTGTGGAGTGCTTGGCCGTGGCTTTTCCTGTGATAACAGAGCCCTGGGAATGGGTGTGCACAGGGGCCTGGTTCTTCACGCTTGGCCTCCTCCCTCCCATGTCTAGGCCGGGAAATGGGTCACCACTGCAGGGTGCTGCTGGCCTGGGGCGTGGGTCAAAGCCTGCTCATGGCCTGGCACATTGTGAGGGTGACGTGGGCAGCCAGGTCATCCGAGCCGAGCTGTCCTGGACAAACCAGCCCGCTGCTGGGGCGTGGCTGAGGGCCTCCCGGGCATCTGGAAGCTCCAGCTTCCTGCTTCTTCCCAGTGCCCAAGGGTTTACCTGGCTCTGCTGCTCCTGGAAGGGGGCCCAGGTGTTTCTGCGTGCCTCACTAGGGAGTGGCAGGAGCTGGGCTGATAATGTGTTTAGCAGCCCTGAGCTGAGGCTGTCACGCCTTCCCGCCACCGCTGGGTCACTGAGAGCATGGCAGGGGCGGTGGGGGCTGGGACCTGAACTTTCAGCCTCTGTGCTGCCCAGTGAGGCCTCTGGCTCCACCTTCCCGTCTGCCCTGGACTCATGAGACTGGAAGTTAGGGGGCAGATGGGGTCAAAACACCAAGCCCTCACCCCGTCAGGGGAGGCTGGCGTGCCTAGGAGAGGGTGAAGGGGTTAACCCACTAAAGAGGATGTCTGCCTGGGAATCATGGGGGAGGCGGCGGCTGTGCAGCGTCTGTTCTCTTCCAGTCACCCAGCATTTATTGAGCACCTACTGTTTGCCATGGAACCGTGCTGGGCCCCGGGCTGTGTGGTGGTTTCTTGTGTTGAGTCTGCGTGGTGTGGATGGTGGTGACTGGGTGTGTGGCGGGCAGAAGAGAGCGTCCACAGAAAATACAGCGTCTCCTTTCCTTTCCCATTTTAAAGTCGCTGGGCTAAGCGTGGGGAAGGGTCCCAGGTAGCAGACACAGAGCCCCGTGGGAAGCAGAGGCTTGGACGAGGACCGGGCCTGGGGCCCCCACTGGCGGGGGCCATGGGTAGGGAGTGGTCTCGTGCTCACTCAAAGTGCGTTTAACATTCGGTGAATGAATGAGTGTCAGGTGTGAACAGGAAAACCGCAGGACCCTTCTGGGTGGCTCTTTTATTTGTCAGACAAGCCCCCAGCAGGCACCCTTGTCGGCCCTGTACAGGACGCTGATGAGAAAGACAAGGAGCCTGTCCTCTTTTAGGAGCTCACTGCCTGTTGTCAAGACAGAGCTGGACACAAGCAATTCCTGAGCTACTGGTCAGGGCCTAAGAGGCCTGCCCAAGGGCTTTGGAAGCACAGCAGGAAGTCAGTGTACTCTGAGGGTGTAGGGAATGTCAGGAAGGCTTCCCAAGGGAGTTTTTTGAATGGGGTGTTGAAGGATATATAAGAGTGGTCAGGGAGGATTTGGGGAAGAGTACATTCTAGGTTGGGACAGCATGCTTAAAGCCATGGAAACATGGTTAAGAATGGGATATTCTGGGAAAGGAGAGCATCTGTGTGGATGCAGGGAGCTTGAGGGAGGGAGGAGACAAGTCTAGTAGGTGAGGTCAGAATGTGCTGTGAAGGGCTTCATGTGCTGCGCTGTGGGGTTTGAGTTTTATTCTGCCAGTGGGGGGAACCGTAACATTTTTTTGACAAGTAAGATGGTTGGCTTGGATGATCTCTCTGTTGATGGAGTGGACACAGAGCTGGAGGTGGCAGGCTGGAGTCCGAGACCGGCTCATCCATTTTTCCACTCATCCACTCAGGATGCATTTTTGAAGCATTACTGTGTGCCAGGCACTGGGGAACTGGTGGTGACAGGCAGGCAAGGTCCCTGTGCTCATGGCGTTGACATTCTAGTGGAGGGAGGCAGACAGAATGCAAGTAAACGAGTGAACCTACATGTCAGAGAATGTGCTGGAGAATAAAACAAGTCAAGGCAATAGGGTGGGGGAGGGGCAGCTTTAGACAGGGTGGTCAGGGAAGGCTTCTCTGAGGAGGTGACATCATGTGAGTCATGTGAAGAGCCAGAGGAGCATTCCAGACAGCAGGAACAGCATGTGCAAAGGCCCTGAGGTAGAAATGGGTGTGTCTTGTTGGAGGAAGACAGAGAGGGTCATTGTGGCTGGAGCTCAGAGAGAGTGAGGTGAGCAAGGCTGGACAGCATAGGACCTGGGAGGTTGTCATCAAAGGTTGGGTCTTTTCCTAAGTGAGGGCAGCCACTGGAAGGAATTGAGGGAGGGCGTGCCCTGGTCTAGTTTACATGTTAACCAGCCTGCGCTGGCTGCTGGGGAGGAGGGTGAGGATGGGGACAGGAGTGGAGCTGGGAAGTCAGTTGGGCAGACACTGTTGCAGCCTCCCTGGGGGCCGATGGTGGCAGCTCAGGTTGGACCCAGGAACAGAGCCGTCGGGGGAAGAGAGCAGTGGAAGAGGACTCCCGGGGCTTTGTCGTGATCTCTGGCTGGATGGAGGGGCCTTTTGGGGGGCTGGAGACACCTGGGCAGGTGGAGCGAGAGAGCAGTTAGGGGCAGTAATTCGGGGATGCTGGTCAGACATCCTGGTGGCTGGTGGCAGCTTGAGGCCAGAGCTCCAGGGGAGGTCAGGGCCGGAAAGGAGCTGAGGGTCCATTAGGAGGACGTTGTATGGGTCCAGGTGTCAGTGGGAGGGGCCGGCGTCTGAGTTCAGGGTCTCTACAAGGCCAGCCAACAACTGGGACGCAAGGGGGGGTGGGGGCCCAGATGCAGGTTCTTCCGCATTTCCTGAGCTGAGCAGCAGAGAAGGGGCATGTGGGTGGCTGAGTGATGGCCCCCAACGATGTCCACGTCCTAATCCCCAGAACCTGTGACTGGAGTACCTCACATGGCAACAGGGACTTTGCAGGTGTGACAAAGTTCAGGGATGTGAGAAGGGAGATTCCCCAGGTGAGCTAATGATGTGATCGCAAGGGTCCTTATAAGGGGGAGGCAGGAGGGTCAGAGAGACCAGGAGACGCGACAGTGAAGGAAGGGATCCTGAGCCTAGGAATGCAGGTAGCTTCTAGAAACTGAAAAAGGTACGGAGATGGGTTCTCCCCTCGGGCCTCCAGAAACGCACGGTAATAGATCTGTGTTGTTTTAAGTCACTGAGTTTGTTATGGCAACAGGAGGAAACTGATTCAGGGCACTAGGTCTCCCCTAGATCTTTGGCCTCCAGACATTTTCAATCAGTCATCAATAAAACATTTTTGATCGTTCCACATATTCATATATTTTACATCATACCCTAGGGTAGACATTTAAAAGGGCATTTCCCTCCAGCCCCTGCAACAGCCGGCTGTGGGGGCCTCCGGAAGGGACGAGGACCTTCTGAGAGGGGAGGTTGGCCGGTTTCTGGACCCTGTGCTGCTGGCGGGTGAGCCTCTGCTGAAGGAGTCCAGCCAGCGGGGAGTTGTGGCTTTCGGGGGGCTGGGCCTGGTTAACAAGGCTGACTCAGCTGGGGTCAGCCCTGCCAGGAGAGGGAGCTCGGGCTGGCCGAGGGCCGGCATTGCCCGCTGGGGCCCGGGGGGCCTGTGAGAGGCCCGTCAGCACCTCAGAGCCCGGCCCAGGGGGTGTGCACAGATGCGCTGAGGGGTACGTTGAAGCGGGGTTTGCAGGCAGAGCCATGAGCCCGAAGCCTGGCTGTTGAGTCATCAGGAAGTGACAGTAGGGCACAGGCGAGGGCAGGGTGGATTCTCTTGGTGGAGGGTGAGTGGGTGCAGAATACCTTTGATGTGCTGGGTGACCAGGGTCCAAGCCCCTGCCTGAGATTGCCTCACTGTGTGACCTCGGGCAAGTGGCTTGACTTCTCTGCGCCTCAGTTTCCATTGGTAAAGCAGAAATATTGCGAGGCTGAAGTGAGATAGTCCGCAGCACCTGGCCTCCAGGACGTGCCCAGCAGAGGGGGCTGCGTTC